CAGGCCTTTTGGGGTTGGAAAATAATGTTCAAACTTTTTTGAAAGCTGACATAGGTGATCATGCACTAACTGGGAGAAATAAGGCCCTGGCTCAGTCTCTTTCAAAATCTGTGCTAATGTTTGAAACATGTCAAAAATCCCAATGTTCACTCTTGCCCCCATAATTCCAGTTTGGCTTTGAATGCAGCCACTTTATCTGCTGACTTGAACACACTGTCTATTCTCCACTGAAGTGACAGATTGAGTTTGTTCAGCAGGTTGAATACGTCACACAAGTAAGCAAGTTTTGCAGCCTATTCTGTGTCACTGAAATGTGCTGCCAGTGGTAACTGTTTTTCTAAAAGAAATCTCTGGAGGGGCTCTCATAACTGAGAAACTCTGGCCAGTGATGTACCTTTAGAAAGCCATCTCACATCTATATATAAGAGAAAATATGTTTGCTCTGTGTGCATCTCTTCACAGAGCTGTGTGGATGGATGTGAGTTAGGGCATGTATTATACTTTAATGTGGTCGATAATTTTAATCACATCTTGCAAAACATTGTTTAGTTCAGGTGACATTTTTCAGCTAGCCAGCATTTCTGTATGGATGACACAGTGTGTAAACTCACATTCACAATCGACCTCCTTGACCCATGTAGTAGTGAAACCAGGAAGCTGTCCAGTCATGGCAGCCACTCTGTCCGTGCATATATTGACACAAAATGACCAATTCAGTTTTCCTGATGTGTCATCATTCAAAGCCTTGAATAGTTCTGCAGCCGTGGTGTTGGTTGGCAACAAAAGTGCACATAATATATCTTCATGCACATCCTCCTAAAAAATATATTGCACAAAAACAAGCATTGTTGCTTGTTGTCATCATCAGTAGACTCGTCAACCTGGATTGCATACCGAGGTGACTCATTAATCCTAACAATCGTGCCTCAGTATCCTCTGCTGTTTCATCAGTTTGTCTAATTATGGTGCTAGCCGAAAGAGAAACACGTGCCGCCTTTTGAACTGCAGCCTCTCCTTAAAAGTTCATGGCAAATGTCCTTAGCAGCAAACGGGATCAGCTCTTCTCCAGTAGTAAAGGGCTTCTTAGCTTTAGCAATGTGGTTAGCCACTAGGAATGATGCTCTCAGTGCAGACACGTTTGATGAAGTGGTGGCCTTCAAATATTGCTTCTGTTCATGTTTTTTTCTTTTGAAAAACTCCAAAGTCTTGTCTTTTAATGAAGGGTGCTTGGTCTCTATGTGATGAAGCAATTTTGAAGATTTTATGGTTTCGTTGGGTAGCCAGTCACCACATGTTATACAAAGCAGGCTTGGAGAATGTGAATCACCTGTTGCAATGAACCCATAATTTAAGTAAGACCCTTGTTTTAAATGCAGCTTTTATTTTTGTTGGCAGTCTTAGAGTCTTCTGCTATCTTGGGTATTTCCCCCTTTTACCAAAGAAGCTCTCCAGTGGTTTGTTTTTTATTCATTTTTGCTAGGATTAGCTTGTGGGCTTACCAAAACTATGCCTGAGACAGGTGTGCACTGCGGGAAAGAGGCGCGGATGGAAGTGGTAAATAAAATAATGGGTGGGCCACACGCAGGCTAAAATAAGTGTTGGATTCTGACTTAAAGCCTGCCACCACATGCAGCTTAATTGTCACTTACCACTCACTGACAGGGTTTTTTTATCTCTTTTTTTTTTTTGAGACAGAGTCTCACTCTGTTGCCTGGGCTAGAGTGCCGTGGCGTCAGCCTAGCTCACAGCCACCTCACACTCCTGGGCTCAAGCGATCCTTCTGCCTCAGCCTCCCGAGTAGCTGGGACTACAGGCATGCGCCACCATGCCTGGCTGATTTTTTTTCTATATATTTTTAGTTGTCCAGTTAATTTCTTTCTACTTTTAGTAGAGACGGGGTCTCGCTCTTGCTCAGGCTGGTCTCGAACTCCTGAGCTCAACGATCCACCCACCTTGGCCTCACAAGGTGCTAGGATTACAGGCGTGAGCCACTTTTGATACGAGTCTGTGAGCAACTGATTTTTTATGGTCTCTATGCACTCAAACCTCTCTGTTAATGATGATCTGTATTTGCAGCCGCTCCCCAGCACTGGCATCACTGCCTCAGCCCCACCCCAGATCATCAGGCACTGGATTCTCACAAGGAGCCGCAACCTAGATCCCTGGAATATGCAGTTTACAATAGGGTTCGCACTTCTATGAGAATCTAGTGCCCCTGCTGATCTGACAGGAGGCAGAGCTCAGGTGGTGGTGCAGGCAGTGGGGAGTGGCTGTATATACAAATGAAGCTTTGCTCACT